CAATTTCCCCATCACCACCTCCCACCTCCACCTGGTAGCTGTGTCTCCTCTCTCCTGCATGTCATTAGGTCATGACCCGGGGGGGGTGGGGGGGCACCACAGATGGTCACCTTTACTATCTGCCTGAGCTCCGGGTTAAAGGAAGAGAATCAGCTGAATTCAAAACAATTTATTCTGAAATAAATACCTAGCATTCTTTAAAATAATGTCTATCGCCTGTCACCTTTCAAGCCAGTGTTAAACTGAGACCTTATAATGAGCAGGCACCAAGTTAAAGGGTACATATCATGCAAATCTACGTTTTTAGCCATTAGATGCATTTTGTTGTGTACTTGGAGTCTCTAGGAGTGCAGAAAAGTGGAATTTAGTTTCTCTCCATGCTGCAAAGATACCTTTATATTCTGTTTGGGTCATTGAACTGCCAAATATTAAGGTCTACCAACTATAATTTGGTCATCTTCATTCTCCTCTTGATCTGGATCAGACTCTGGCTCCAACATTAAGGTGTGAAGCTCTACTAACTCACCAAATTTGAGCTCAGTAACTATAAAATTGACTTAAGTTAATTTTATTAAATTCCCATTAGTTCATGAGATGTTTTGCACAACAGACAGACACATGCACACACAAAACAGGCGCAAGCAGAAACATTAATGTGGTTTCAGCATTAATGACAGGTCATTTAAAACAAAAGCTCCTAACATGAAGTGAAGGAGAGATAATAGACAAACAAGCCCTGAAAGTCATCCTTATGTTGACGTACAGAGCGCAGCAGCACCCTCTATAGATGACACAAATGGAAATGTTTTCCTATCAGAATCTGTGAAGTGATTATTCTTCTGCTGATTGCAAAAAAAAGGAATTTTTGAGAATAATCTAAATAAATCTCTGATCTCCCCTCACAGTACTCTGGTTTCCAGCAGACGGCAGAGAAGTGCTTTGTGTGCGGCCATCTCATCATGGAGATGGTAAGAAGTGTCTCTGAAATGTATTTCWACGCCACACAGTCTCTCATGTTTGCCGCCYGCTAACCTKAGGTCTGATTGTTGTCCTAAAGTGTTTTTTTTTCTTTGTGTTTTGTTTGATGTGTATTTGTGGTGGGCGGTGTATAGATCCTCCAGGCACTAGGCAAGTCATACCATCCTGGCTGTTTCCGCTGTGTAGTGTGCAAAGAGGGTTTAGACGGCGTGCCTTTCACTGTGGACGTTGAAAACAACATCTACTGTGTCAAAGACTACCACACGTAAGAGAAGCGTCTCWGTTCGTTCCGGTTATTAAAAAGAGAAACACGGTGTTTGTGCGAGGAAACGTACACAGCGCCTTCAACGATTCAGTGTTTTGATTTATTCACAGTCGCACTGGAATTTTAGGAGAAATATTTGTGCTTGCTTATAGTTTTGTTCTCTTCCGTTATAGGGTTTTTGCTCCCAAGTGTGCCTCGTGCAACCAGCCCATCCTTCCAGCCCAGGTAAACAGCAAAATGAGCCTAAATGTTGGTCTGTTTTCTAGCCTTTTTTTTTTTTATTTGGGGGTATAAAGTATCTAAAAATATTCCCCTAAAAACTGTTCAGGTTGTCCTTGTTTCCACAAATTAAACAGTATTGAGAAATGCATCCCATTAAAAAACTAATAACAAACTGGCAGATTTATAGGTAAGGCTGCAAAGATTTAAAGGCAACATATGAGCTCATGAGATCAATAAGTATGTTTGATTATTACCATATTTATTGCTAATCTTTAACAATAACTTATTTAAAGTTAGCTCTATATCCTGTACTGGAGCTGAGATTGTGATTAATTTTGGATGGAAATACTTGAAATGGATTCAGTTTTTTATATATATTAATTTCAGTCATGTAGTTGAATAGTTTTAATGCCGTTGTGTTACTTTATATTCCTTCTTTCATCAGATAATCCAGGGAGTCCCTTACGAGGTCTGAGCTCACCAGGAGCCTCAGCAGTACAGAAGAATCAGATTAGACTTTGATAAATCATCTTTATAAAGCCTGAGCTGTTCCACTCTTTAAACAGATTAACAAAAAGGCTAATCTGCAAGAGGATAAAAGTGGATAAAAGGTGTAGTGATCACTGGGACACAGCATGATCTGTATAACACACGATGGCTGCGTGACAYTATAACAAAATATAATATTCTGCTTAATGATAGAAAAGATGGTAGTGTAAAGCTGACTAGATAGCTTCACAATACTCCATGAGCAAAAACACAAAACATACTTCTGAAACAAACTAGGAGTTTTTGCTAGTGATATTTTTGCACCAGTGTAATGGGTATTAATGGGTATCCATTGACGCTCAACTATTAAGATCATCTTAAAGTGAAAAGGGACAGAGCTACAGTCATCTTGATCAAACTTTGTATATGGTCTCATGCAGCGGCCATCTTGGATGGAGTGAATCCAAAACATTAATTAAATTAGTTTTATACGTACAGCCAGTTAGTTTCATTAAAACCTGTCCAGTGGTTCATGAGATGAGATGAAGTCTAACAGTTTGTTCTTTCAGGGCTCTGAGGAGACCATCCGGGTTGTTTCTATGGACAAGGACTATCATGTGGACTGCTACCACTGTGAGGTGAGACATCCCTCCCACGCACACACTTGTCTCTCATTACTTGTGTGGATATTGCATTGACCTCCATTAATTTCTACAACCTATAARCCACAAATGTTTTTTTGTTTTCATTGTGTGGACCAGGCAAATGCCCATACAACGACACAATGTCCTTATAAGTACAGCATAATGTCAAAATATGTCCACACAAACAATACAAAGACATAGATACACATACAGTGGTTTGCAAAAGTATTCATACCCCTTGAACTTTTCCATATTTTGTCACATTACAAC